TAGGTTTAAAAAAAATTCTTTTTACGCCATCCGTATTATATAAAGAAATAATTATTAAATACTAATTTGCTATAAGCATTTCTGAATTCATGTGTTTATTCGAAAATAAAATGAAAATTAACTGCGAAGACGGTATTAGATTTGCAGTGTCAAATAGTTGCGTTGCAGTACTCTCTATGTATTCGTTATATTGACAAGAGAACAATTGATGACGATTTTTAATTCTCAATGTTTTTAAATTTTTTTATTTCTCTTGTTTTTCTCTTTTTATATTTCAATGTTTATATAATTATTATAGATTGAGTTTTCATCTCTTATTTATATTTGTTATTCATCAATTTTTACTCAACGCAAGGTATCAACTCTTTCATATAACGCATTATTTTAAAATTTTTATTTTGTTTTTAACTCTTTCTCTCCCCCAACTTATGTATTGATTTAAAAAAAAATTAATTTTAAAGAAAACATACATAAGTGAAGTATAAACAAAATTATTGATTGTTGTGTGGTGAATGCATCTTTTAGAATTGCAACCTTAGAATTTTATTGGCGCTCAACTCATTTTGCCAAACGAAAATTACACTACAATACAAATACAATATCAACATTCATGACTTGGCAATCGAATTGAATTGAAAGAGATGAACTCAAACTTTTTATTTTGGCTCTCATTATTTTCTCTGTTGATGAAGTTTTCTTGTTTATTTTTTTTTATTATTTTTATTATTGATGTTAAGCATTTTGAAGTTTTCTTTTTTTTATTTTTCTTTTGTTTCAAATCCAGGTTAGAAATCTCAGGCAAATATTTTCTTAACCTCAAATTAACGAGAAAATTTCTCGTTTTACTAATATTTCATTTTTGATTTTCTCAGTTTTGCCATTTTCTTTTCTTCTTATTTATTTTGTTGTCTGGTTGCATTGTAGTGCAATATTTAATGCAATTTAAAGCAATGCAATGAAATTGTTTATGGTGGCAATACAACAATAATATGATTTTATTTCTGTTTTTGTTTTGTCGAGAGTTTTTGTAAGTTTAGCTTATTTGTGTTTCTTGTGCAAAATATTTTGCAATAGAATGATTTAATTTAATGTTATTGGGAAAGAGAAAAGAAGAAAAAGAAATTCCGAAATGATTTAATAAACGCCCAATGGGAGGTGCAAATAAAACTTTTTAAAGATTATTTTCACATTTGTTTCTTTACATTTGTCCATATATGTATACCAATTTGTGTACATAGTTGAGTTCTTGTATACAAAAGACAAGGAAAACTTACAGTTTCAAGAAACACAAGATTAAGGTTTTGACTTAAAGTGCTACAAATTTTGTTTTATTTTATTTTTTATATACACCTTTTTTGAGTTATATTAACAAAATTTTTTCTTTGTAATTTCAAAACCCTTATTATTCTCCTAATTTCTTTGATTTTAGTTTGTAACTCCATTGGGAAGTAAAAAAATTACAAAATATCGCGATTTGACATGGCAACCACGCTATATTTATGTATGTATATATTTGCTTTTCTTTATACCCCTACGTTTAACATTTTGTGATAAATAAAAATTTTAAAAAAACTTAGTAACATAGGATTTTTTTTTATGTTCTTGAGAAATGTAAATGATTTTATAAATTATTGAAAATTTTTCATCAAATATGATTCAAAATTTATGTTTGTACAAATACATACATATATAGAATCTGGAGATGAAGATTTATAAATAGATGAAAAAAGGCGTAGTTAATTTCGATTTGAGGTATTAAACTTATTAAAAAAATACTTAAATGTTTTTTATTTTATAGCAATTGTACTAAATATGGTAACCCTCATACAGTTTAAAATAATTTATTCTGATTTATAATAACTTGCAATAAAATATGTTTTATTTTTTGTTCTAATTAGGAAAAAAAAAATTTCTAGGATGCTTTTGAAAAGGTACTTGAAAAATTAGAATAACGAGAAATTGAACAAAAAACAACAGAAAGAAAATACATCAACCGAAATATCTTTAGAGGCTGATCGCATTGTTAAGACGATTATTTCTGAATATAATAAACAGAACGGTAATTTTACGTATCCTAAAAATTATAGACTAACAATCGTATTAAGAGTTTGTATTTTGTTGATGAATTCTAAGGTTTTACCTCTTTTTTTTCATAATTTTACTCTATAGTTGCTATGATTTTTGTCGCATTCTGCAAGAACGAATTTTTAATATTTCAATTAATTGAGGCATGCATGTACGTATCTGCAAAATTGTAATATTCCTTTTAATAACCAATTTTTATTAATCATAAAAAATAAATTTAATTTTCGATACTTGTGTGTATATTTGTACATATGACGACCAATAAATCAGTTTAGCATCATTTTAAACTGAAATAATTTTCAAATTAATCAATGTGTTAGCGTTTTCGCCATCCTATTCCTTTACACATATATGTTTGTATATAATGGCGTTCAAATATTATTCTAAAGGAATCCATAATTTTTTACAATATACATATACATTTAGCAGCACATACTTTATGGAGACTCGTATTCTAATACAATGCGATTATTAATTGGTCACTAATTTTTTACCTTATTCAAAATATTTTTATACGATGAGTTGAAGGAATTTTTGTCGAATATTTCTTCGATTTGTTTTTTTTGCACATTATTAATTAAAATATTAAGAAAATATTTAAAATAATGAAAAAATGGGAAAGAAGAAGATATGTATGTCTTTGTTTCTTTCCATCAATTTGATAATATAAATGACTTAATCATAATATTAGCATTTAAATTGATCATTTACATAGCAGGAGTTTTCTTCGAAGAATCTTTAAATATTCATATGTATGAATTTATAATGAAACTATTATTTGTTTATTAAAAATACTATTGTTTGAAATTGCTATTTAGATGTATATAAGTGTTTGAGTAAAATGTGTTTTTAGTAAATTCCACTAAACATAATATTCTTAATTTAAAGTTCTTTCAGTTGGAATGTTATTTATAATGATGATAATCAATTACTAAATTTTGTTGTGTGCTGAAAGATTTAAAGAATTTGTTAGAAAATTAAAAAAATGCAAATACCAATCCTTGTTCGTTTTGTGAGGATTTTTCAAAAGGATCCCCGCACCCTGTTGCAATTTTATATTGAAACATGTCCAGCAGTGGTCCGAAAGTGAAGACTCCTAAGATGCCATTCATCTACTGATCGTTAGGGCCCCAGAGATAAACAGAGTTGCTTTTACATACACAAACGTTAATACCGCTAAGAAAGCTACTAAGGACTCATCTCGCTTGTTCACATTCGAGCTACCCCAGGTTGTGGTATGCATCGGCATCACATCTCATTTTCTACTCCTTCCATCTCACCGCAGTCGTATTCTCGTCTCTAAAATTTTTTAAAAGAAAAAAAATTAGTTCTTTCTTTACTAAAATATAAGATTTTTGTCTTTTTACTCCCATTTTGTATTACAGGACATAGTCCTTAAGCCTAAAGTCTTGAATTTTTTTTCTACTATCCAACCACGGTTCCTAAATGAGCGCGAAGCGGATGTTATTAGCGCTCATATTCCTTACAAGATTGTTGGTAACTATCCTACTGTGACTGAGGTTGACTTGGATTACTTCCAGTTTTTAAATCGCCTTCCCAAACGATTCTTAGCAGCGCCTTGGAGAAGCGGATCTTACCATTTTGCCATTTTTTGGTATGTCATCACTAACTTGATGACTTTCTCCACTGCGACATAGGGTTTAGGCATCTACAATAATGCCTTGACTTGATGTTGCCAAATACATCAGCTCTTGGATGGCTCCTTCCCAGATGCCGTCAAGCTTCATTAACGTATCCTATAAACTTTTTCCCTTAGATAACTTTTGTGACGACGATGCGGCTGTGGTGAGGTGGGAGAGGAAGAAGAAGGATTGTCCTCTTCTTCTCATCTCATGTTATATGCCCTACGACAGCGAGGCAGAGCCGCCGCCGGAAAAATTCAGGGAGGCTATCGGAAAGTGGAGGCACGATGTGCTGGTTGGGTGTAATGCGAATGCGCACCATACTCTGTGGGGAAGCTTGGATGTTAATCAGCGAGGTGAGTCCTTAGTAGATTTTCTTAATGGTGCTAACCTTTATGTATGTAATAGGGGCTGCGACCCTACTTTCGTCATAAGGGATATGTGCTAGACCTCATTTTGGCTACTAATTTCGAAGCCTTAATGGTTAGTAGATGGATGGTATAGGAGGAGTCTTCCCTCTCGGACCATTGCTGGATTCCTTTTAGGATAGATTTGCAACTGAAGGTGGGGGCGCCATTTAGAAACCCCCGTAAGGCAAGTTGAGATGGGTACCCGGCAGTCGTGGAATCTGCCATGACCGGGCCGATACAGGAAGAGAATACGGTGGGCTATTAAGTCTTTTGGCTCCTACAAGTCTCCGGGAACGGATGGGAAGCGGCCTATTATGCTGCGGAGGGCACCGAGAGTTATCATTGATTGGTTGATGGTAATCTTTTGTAGCTGCCTGTATATGGGGTATGACTCTAGAGAATGGAGAGAGGTGAGGACGGTTTTCGTGCCGAAGTCTGGTAGGAATGGTCATGTCAGTGCGAGGGATTTCCGACCAATCAGCTTGTCGTCCTTCGTGCTGAGGACCATGGAGAGGTTAGTGGAAAAATATATAAGGAATGAGGAAAGGGAGTCGGGTCTGTCAAATGACCAACATGCCTACAGAAGAAGGAATCTGTAGAAATGGCGCTGCACGCGTCGGTCACACAGATGGAGGTGTCTCTGCAGTAAAAGGACTATACTTTGGCGGCTTTCTTGGTTGAGGCTAACATAGGGGATCTTGAGGATGTAGAGGTAGGTGAAGGTAAAATCAGATGTATAGGACACATGCTTACTACGAAGGTGGTAGTGGCTGAGTGGGGCTCAAGTAAGATGAGGATTTTGTAGGTGAGAGGCATCGCTCAGACGGGGGGATGGAAGGTTATCTTAGGCTTATGGGGGAAAATGGATGCAAAGTTACTGCCTATGCGGATGATGTGGCAATCCTGGTCTCAGGTAAGTATCCGGAAGTACTGAGTGCGATAATGCAGGGCGGTCTTGATAGACTGATCGATTTTATAGACCGCAAAAACGGAGCTGGTGTTGTTCACGAGGAAAAGAGAAGTTTTCCGGGTTTGCCCTGCCTAGGATGGCAGGGGTCGAACTGGATTTAGATGCTGCGCGCGACACCTGGGTGTGGTTATGGATAGTAAGCTGCTGTGGAGGGAAAACATAGAGAATATTGTAAAGAGGGCCACGATTGCGTTATTCGTCTGCAAGGGGGCGGTTGGTAGACGTTGGGGAGTGAGTCCTCGGCTGGTTTACTGGTTGTATGAGTGTGTGGTTAGGCCTATTCTGACGTATGGGGTGACTGTTGCATTGCGTACTACACCCACTTTGGGTTTGGAGGTTATTCTCGACTTGGATCAGGTGAGTGAGCAGGTGAAAGCGGTGGCTGCGAGAAGTGCCTTGCGGTTACAAGCGATAGCCATACTCAAAAACAGGGAATATACACACAGTAGGATTTTGGGCGAATATAGAATGTGGCCCTTGGACATTAGGTCTGACTTTGTGGTGCTATATACCGACTGGAGGGTTGATTACGGGGTTGTGGTTTCAAAAGGGAGGATTGGAGTGTGGAAGGGCTATGCATGCATAAGAGGTTGTTTATCTATATGGATGGTTTTAGGACCATGGATGGTACGGGGGCGGGGGTCTTCTTCGAGGAGTTGGGGATAGAGCTATCGATTGGGCTGCCTGATAGATGTAGGGATTTGGCTGCCACTAAACCGGTGGGGGGATGCGAGCTGGCACTTTTTGTGGATAGTAGGGCGGCAATTGGGGCCCTCGAGTCTTATCCTGACATATTGGATGGGTCGGTGCGTCCGCCGTTAGGAGCGTATCTTGACGTCATAGATGGTGAGTGTAGGAGGAGGAGTGGTGTCTTGTGGGAGGAGGCTCACACGTGTAGGGTGATCAAAACAATGTGGCCTTTCAGGGTCAAAAGGACGACGAGGATGCTGTTGAGGTATGGTAGGGCTAATCTCAGCATACTGGTGGGGGTCCTGACGGGACATTGCCTTTTGGGGAAAATGGCCAGGAGGGATGAGACGGGGGAGGAGGATATAGAGCATGTTCTCTGTGCCTGTCCGTTTTTAATGTGGAAAAGAAAACGTGTCTTGGGGGCTTATTTTTATGGCCCCGAGGACCTATCTGGGGTGTCTCTTCCGCGGCTTTTGGGCTTCGCCAGTGAGGTTGGCTGGTTTGGATAGGGGGTCTGGTGGATCGGATTGCAAGGGGGTTGTTGGGTGTTGGTTTTGGGGGTTGCCGATGGGCCTTTTCTGTTGGCCTAGTGCATGGGCTTCGCGCGGATGTATGTGTGGAGCCCCCTCTCTTATTACTACTACTAATGTATCCTATAAGAACTTCTTCGAAGCCGTGTTGGAAAACGTAACTATCTTGTAGGATCCATCCCATCCAGCGCCATCGAAAATTATTTCTTTTGCTGAGCCAGATAAAAACCTCTTTCCACAACCCCTGGTTATATCACAACCATCCTCCGTTCCAGCGCTGAAGTAAGTGAAATAAGCAAATATTTAATAGTTTATACTAAAATCATAAATTCATTTTATTTTCATGAAAGAAAAAAAGAATAAAACCAAATAATGCTAGAAAGAGAAGAATATTAATAATATAATTAGTTAATATTGTTTTTTTAATTAAGAGCAGATAAGCAAGTATTTAGATAAGGCAATTAAATTAACAATTCGAATATTATCAGGATTCGTTCGAATATGATCATGATCACTATGAAAATCGTATTTATAAAACAAATCGCTTATACTAATTCTAAATAATCTGAAAAATTTACTAAAAATTCAGCAGCCTTCAAATTGATCTCGTAAAATATCAAAACGAAAAAAATGTTTCTACTTAATTAAGTGTAGCAGCCTAACTAATCTGAAAATTCCAAATGTGTTGTAACCATTGAGTCAGTAATTCTGTGCAAACACTGTGTCCTTCGGATATAATACAAACATCGGATATAATTTTAACTATAATTTCGAGTAAAGTAATTTTTGAATCGTCATATTTTATAATAATTTGTTACAGAATTCTGTTTATTTAAAAATTTTACGATAAAATTCCAGAATTGAAATAAAAACGAATGAATTACATTGTATGTGTAAATCTGGGAATTTTTATTCATAAGTTTTTATTCATATAAACACGATATTTTTATCAGATAAAAGTAAAGATACATAACATTATGGTTATTATATTATGAGTGTGCACATATGGTATTAACGTACAATTCTGACAAACAAAAATAAAACCATGTAACACCAAATGTACAATAATTGTACTTAAGCTTAAAATTCATAAAGTTAAGAATCTTTCAAAAATTCATTCATAATTTAGAAAAAAAAAATAGCAGAGAAAAATATGAAAGGTGTGTATTACAATTAAAGGATGCTAAAGTATAAAAAAATGACTTGAATTGTAGTTCCTATGTAATTTAAAATCTGATATAATAAAAGTGTTGGCCGTTACTTAGAAATAAATTGTAAGAAAAGAAAGAAAAATTGCATGTAATAATATATAAGATTAGAAAACCAAGTTGATGCTGCACTTAAACAAAACAATATGGAGTAGTTAATTTAAAGAACGCAAAATTAGATTTTATAGATAATTATGGAAATGTTTGCCATTTTGCAATATAAGTTGAAGAAAAATAAGAAACTTTTAATTCAAAATATTAGAACAATTTTCATATAACAAAAATCGATAACCAAACGATATATTAACAACTTTCCTTTGAAAATTGAGACTAGCCAAAAATTACTTTCCGAAACGATTTGTTAACTATTCTTCCGGGAACTTTCGGTTAATGAAAATTTATTTAATAAGAATAATGAAATTACTGATATGGTACCAGTATTCAAGAATTATTTTTTTAGATAAAATTCCCAAAATTTGCAAAAAATCGTTTATTAAATAATAATATTAAAACTTGTTAAAATGTATGAAAAATTAAAATTCAATTCCCGTAACTGGTCCAATTAGAATTTCGGAAATTTTAAGTTTCAAAAAGTATTTGCATTCAGTATCTTAAATATGATGAATGAATATAAGCTTCTATTAATTAAGTATTCTAGATATTCAAATAATAATTGCCAAAACTGAAGAGTTCAAAATTTAATAAAAAAAAATTAAATCAGTCATTTATAATTTTTTTAAAATTACGCACAGCATTATAAATAATTTGAATTAAAATTTTCCATTCAATGGAAAAAATATTATTGTATATATACACATAATATTCATTTCAGCCATTTTGTAATGTAATACAATAAAAAAGGAATTTTTTTCTCTACATTATCCGTTCGTTGTTATTTTAAAAAATAAAAATTCATTTTTCGATATTTATATTTCGCCCCCTTTATGGTATAAAAATAAATGATAAAAATTGAACACACCATTAAACAATTTTCCCCTTTATTATCCACATTTATAAAGCCTTCTATAAACAGAACATTCTTTTTCTCTTTTTCTTATTTTTGATATTCCTATATTGCCTACCAAATCGAAATTATGTATTTTTCGACAAAAAAATGAAGATTTTGTTAAATTTCTACGAAAACTTCCCTAATATTGTTAGAATAAAAGAGTGAGATAGAAAATAAGTCTAACATTATTTTTTTTCTTCTCTTGTTGTTTTTCCTTTTTTTTTGCTTAGTTGTTTATTTTTCTTGTTATTGATATACTTATAAGGGTTGATACCAAAAAAAAAAGGATCTATGAAATATAAAATAAGGATTATGATTTTTTTTGTTAAATTGAGCAGAAAAATTTTCTATTCATTGTTCTGCTATGGATTAGTTTCAATTTCAATAAAATTTAAGCTTTATGTTGTTTGGTTTGTCTATTTTTATAAAAATGTGTTTTTTTTTTTTTAAATGCTAACAAATTTTCATTTATTTTGTTTAAAGGGAAAAAGGATTAATTTGGAATGGGAACTATATTTGAATAGGGCCAGCTTTATATGAGTAAACAAGAAATTTAGTTCCAATTATTTAAAATTCCTAATATAAAAATAAAAAATGCTTGCATCTTGTAAACCATTTTTGTTGAAAAAATTTAATTAAAACTTTTCCTATGTGCCTATTTATGATCTTTTTTTTATTTTCTAGTTTATTTACATTTGATAATATAAATCAATTGAAACTCTTATGAATCCTAAATTTTAATGTATATCGGGGCCATAAAATTCATGTTGTTATGATAAATATTCGAAATAAACAATTTCAAGGCATACTTTCCTAATAATTGAGATTTAAAGAAATAAATGTTTAAATCAATTTCCATATTTTAAAATTTAAAACCCAAATCCTACATATTATTGGTCTATATTAATTTCCTATTATTAGGAAATTAGCCTAAGACATTTCTTGTCTTAGTCTAATTTCCTTCAAAATCACAGAATTCTAAACTTATTCTAATTAAAAAATGGAGTTTGGTTGAGCTTGCATTACCTGGCATATTTTAATTTTTTGATAACTATATGTACATGATTTTATGGAGCTACACTAGTTAAAAAATGAATGTCACCAATTAAAAATTACAAAACTCATCATTCAATGTTAATTTTGTAGTATGTACCTACATAATTATGTAAAAAATTGATGATCGAATTTTGAACACCATTTGAATACTAATAATTAAAAACTATTTATATTTAAATACCATAAATAATATGAAATATTTTAATTGAAAGAAATTTTTCATTTTCTCTAACTGCAGAATGTAGTAGTATAATGAAGCATATTTCTATTTACATCCATGTACACACAATTATTACGAAACTGAAATTATAGTAAAACAATGGGAGGATGTTCGTTATAACCGCATAATCATAAATTTGTAAAACATTTCTTCCTTCTCGGAATTACTTAATAATGTAAGTTGCTATATATATGCATTTACAATATTTACTAAAATTGTAATAAATCAAAATTTCAAATATAATCTTTTACTATAAATATAAAATAAAGTAAAAAACAAAAACAATAAAATAATTGTGTCTTTATTTCTTAACCATTACATTGTTGTTATTTATTATAATATTTTAAAAATGTATGTAAACGCATGTGAGTTGTTTTATGTAAAAGAAGTAAAAGATGTGTCAGTTTATTTCTTATAGAAAATAAACACATAAATTGTTGAACTGTTCAATTTTTATTATAACAGTTGTAAAAACATGGCAAGCATATGTAACCAGAACGGGTAACAATAATAACGTATTTTTATTAAATTAGCTTCGATTCGCCCCCTATTTTATTTATAGCAAAACGAACATGGCAATGTCTCGCGTTTAGAAGGCTCTATATCTGAGTATAATAGTGACAAACGAAAAATTTAAAATAGTTTTTGCGTTCTATTATGAATAGCAAATTTATTTGGAATTACATTGCTGGAGTACAGTTTATTGCTTTATGCGCTCCAAGAAAGTTTTTCATGACACTATTCGGCTGTAATTGTATACAGATATTTGGCTGAATGTACACTCTTTGATAACAATATTTGTAGTGCGATTAATTTACTACAATCAAAGTAAATTTAACTAACTCTTAAAATCTTGTAACTAAAAAAATTAAATGGGCGTAGAGTTTGAAATATATTTTGTAATTAAGATTTAAATAATTAATTAAATTGAATTCGAAAACATCTACAATTATTGAACTAAAATTAATAATTTAAGAATCATTTAGACCTCAACACTAATTTAGTCACTTACATATTCAGTTAGATTTAACTATCGTTACAGTGACTTACATTTAATTTCTACAATTTATGACTGTAAATTTTTGCTACTATAGATTATTTTTTGTTATGCAAAACGAAAGTACATTTTCCAATCAATTTATATCGCTCTTAAAATAATTATTAACAAGGAATGTCCCAACGTTTCATATTACTCCCTTTGAAATTTAAATTGTAATAAATGGCTACACTGATTAAGATTTAATAAATTCCAACATGTGTATAAGTTGTATAAAATAAATACACTGCTTCAAATTGTTTATTAATGAAATTGTGTGGCCCATGAGCCACCATAACTTTACATATGTATACATATATGTATAAAAATTGTGTATACTTATACTAATAACAAATTAAAAGAAAAAGGTTAAAAAGATAATATAAATGTAACATCACAATTAAGAAAGTAACAAAATTGTCATATTCGTACAATTATACACACAAACATATTATGTACACGCGTATAATACAATTATGTTGATGAACTATATAAGCCTTAAGGCATGAAGTACGAAGAAAATTTGTCGCGTTCCTAAACTTTTTGAATATTAAACATAACATTATGCTAACTAAACGATAATAATATTAAAGAGGAAGGTATCTTCTTATTTCTTTGTATACACACGTACAAGTTGCATCTCTACGTACATAAATATACATATAGATGGCATTTATAGGTCTTCCCCCACATAATTTTCTATTTTATTTGTTTGTTAATTTATTACTTTAACTCCTTTAATTTTTTTTTATT